ATATATATATATATATATATATATATATATATATATATATATATATATATATTTGATTTCCAAGAGGAGGGGAGAGAGAGAGATATAGAAACATTAATGATGAGAATCATTGACCTGCTGCCTCAGGCACACCCCACACTGGGGACCAAGCCCATAACCCAGGCATGTGCCCTAACAGGAAATTGAATCATGACCTCCTGGTTCATAGGTCGAAGTTCAACCACTGAGCCACATCAGCCAGGCAGTAATTGCCACTTTTCACCCGTTGTTCTAAAGACTTTTTCAGTTTATAGATTAGAGAAACATTGAGGGATTGGAGAAGTGTTGAGGGCTAATCACTATTGTCAGAAAGACATGCAGAAAAAGAATTATTCAACATCCACTAGTATTCTAAATCTGCGTCTAAATAACATTTATTTCTACCTAAACTATACAAACACACACACACACACACACACACACACACACAGACACACACCAATAAACCTACTGGATACTTATACCCCCTTAAGTGTATTTATTTCCATTAAAAGCACAAAATTCAAAAGATTTTCAGACAAAATTAAAAAAATTTGTCCAGATTCTATGTAGTTGGTGAATGAAACAGTTAAGTGAAACTGAAAATTGTGTAGAACAAGATATTTTTCACTTTTAGGTTTTTGTAATTAAGTGTAATTTCAATACTAAATAATTTTTTCATTTCTACCCAAAACACTATAACTTATAGAGGCCAAACAAATTAAAGTATATTAGGATTTTACACTCTTAATCTCTTGTTTTTATATAAATTCAAATGAAGTGAGAAGAGGAATACATAAAGTTGGATAAGTAAATGTTATCGTTAATTGTGCGCTATTGCTACATGCCAGTCATGCTTAAAGTATGTCTTGTGTGTAATTCACTTAATTTTCATAATCCAATGAAATCGACGCCACCATTTGCCTAAGAGCAGGGAAGTTGTTACCCACCTTACTCAGGTGAGTGATGAAGCAAGGCCTGGAAGCCAGGTAGTGTGACTGTGACTGACACCAGGGCTGCCCAGCCCTGCAATGTGATTTAGCTGCTTGGAAGGGACAGGGACTGTCTGTCATAACCCCATTGAATTTATAAACAGCTAAACATGCTCTGTCACTCTTACTAGAAGTAGCCTGTTCTAACCAACTACTCTGTATATGTCCACAAGGTGTGTGGGAAATATGTTTAAGCTATTATATCTGTGCAGAGCAATTTTCAGTAAGAGATAAGCCCATGGTATAAAACATGAAATATAAATTTAAAAATTAACATTTGTGTAAACATTTGTTTTTCCATAATAGACTCCTCATTTGGTGTATTTTATCTTTCCCATCAACATTTATCTCCTCTATGCCCTCTTCTACCTCCCCTCACCCTTGATGCTATTTTATAAGAAGAAAATCTTGAGGCTTTAGAGTCCCATTTTATAACAACATAAAAAGGGAGGGGTGATTGCACTGTGTCCAGCATCACAATTGAGCAGTTGATCATGGACTCAAATCCAATTATTCTAACTTTAAACACAGTAATTAATATTTAAAAATAATGTTTTCAAAATATCATAAAATGTATCAAACTTATGACTCTCAGGTTCTTCATGTATAATATAAAGGGATTATATTAGAATGTTACTTTTCTCAAGTCTGTTCAAACTCTAAAATTGTTTTTATAATTTCAAATTACTTATAACTCAATTAAAAGGAAAAAACACTTTATGGAAGATCAGTCTTAGCTCTCCTCTTTGCCTGCACAGAGAATTATTCACATCACAAAAAACAAAAACAAAAACATAAATAGTAAAAATAAGCGATTACATGTTTTCAGTTAATTTATTTTAGAAAAACAAAAAGTTTACAAGTGGTGCCCTAAGGCAGGATATTAGGATTCAACTAGTAATACAGACTCTCAAAAAACCTTTATAGATTAGCCCAAAGTAGAAAACTGTTGGCCCACTCTTGGACTCGGACACATTCAGGAAAAATAGATATTTATAAAAATAAAATGGCAAATCTAACTAACCCCACCTATTAACTGTCTTAACATCTCACACTGGTGTATCTGAACAATTTCTGCATAAGAACAGCCCAGGGATTTTTCCCTGTCATACCTCCGTATCACAATGAAGCAATAATGAAAATATTGAAATTACTTCTGCAAAATTAAAACAAAAGAAAATCTAAAAAAACAACAAAAAAAAACAAAAACAAAATCCAAAAAACACCCTGAAACAAATCACATGAAACAACAAAAATACACAGAACAGAAACAATACAGCTAATTGTTTACACATACAGACTCTAGGCATTAGGCTCCTAATGTTACTACTAAATCAGGTATCAGAAAGCATGTGTGAAGAAAATGAAAATTCTACATATAATTCATGTCAAAGGAGTTTCAGAAGCAGTAATATTAAAGAAATATTAAAGTACACAATAAAACAAACTAAATGAATTGCAACCAACTGGGGTGCATGACTTCATTAAAAACATGCGCTCTCACTGAAATATCTTTGACAACTGTCTGGACACCAGATTCAGCAAGAGCAAACACCTAGAACTTTGCATTTTGGGAGTTAGAAACGAATTTTACTACTGTAAAAAGCCTCACAGATTGAAGGCTATTCCCTCTCTTTCTTTATATGTAATCGCAGGAAGATTCATCACAGAATTAGGATCTGTTCTACAAGATTCCTTAAGAAATCTACCTTTATTTTGAAGTTTTGTTTTTCTTTCTTGGAAATAAAATAAAATAAAATAAGCATTTCTAATAAGCTCTGACATCACATTGAAGGGAAAAGCATACCAGTGAGCAAAATTTAAATCTGTTTTTGCAAAGGGTTGATAATATCCTAGAGACATATAAAAAGCAAAATATCAGTACAAAAAATGAAGTCAAATTATTCATTTACAAACCATGTACATATATAAATATTTTTCCCCCAAGAGACACACTTTGAAACGCAAACAGAATATGGGACAACAGTATAGAGTTGTGAAAAAGGTAACAGAGACTAAAGACTAAGATCGCTGGACTTTTGTTTGCTGATACATACTGAGCTTTACTCTTTCTCTAAATTTTTTTTCCTCTTGAGGTCTTTCATTTGATACTTGAGAAAAGACAAAAAACTTGCAAATGATGGACATCTGGATAAACTAGAAGCAAAAAGCAATGAAATGTTCTATCATTCCCTGCTTCACAGGCAATAGCTCACTTACTTACTAGGCTGAGATTCAAGTGAGGCATCTGTATTTATTTTGGCTTTTTACTGTTGCAAAACAAGCCTGACCCTCTAGGAACATTAATATTTATCTTTTAAAAGAATCCCTCCTTACTCTTTGGAGAGGAATCTACTGGTCAAATTAACAACATTTATCTCTAAATTCCATTTAAGAACACTTTATTCTAATATTTCCTGAAATTCCTTGGGACTGAATATGTGATTCCTTACTATAAAATACTAACAGGGTGCCAAACATTAAGAATTAGTAATTATTACATACTAATATAGTACATGGATATAATAAAACAATTACTAATAACTCCTTAGTACTTAAGACACAGCTTCAGTTTAGTTGTGATCAGTGGGGCATTTGAAATCACCAAAGACTGCCTTTGGGGATCAAAACCCGAACAACTCCAGTGTCAGGACCACAAATTACAGTTTTAAAGTGAATGAACATTTTAAAACCTTTGATAAAAATCTTTATATTGGATAACCCAGTTTCTCAAGGAATAAAAGCCATCTAATAAAAATTCTAACTTAGCTACAACAAAGACCTCAAAGATAAACCAATCTACAATAAACATATCAAACTATTACTTAAAAACACCAATTTTTATGCATTCCATCAGATAGAGATTTCCTACATCTTATTATAGAGAGAAGACAACAGGCTGAGAGGGTTGACAGAATTGAAAGGATGGAGAAGATAATTGGTCGACCTCTTAAATCACTGAGCATGATTTTGTTGACAGGCTGATTATGTCACTCATTACCCATTATAAACATAGACATGCCCATAATATTACATAACAGATGTATGCCAATAAATATATGTATATATGGGTGTGTGCATATGTATACACACACACACACATACACAGATAAGTTACTAAAAAGTTACAATGCTATAAACATAAAATGTGACATATATTACTCTTTTTTTAAAAAAAGCATCAGGTGCTTTTAATCTAAGGAAATTTTTAGAAATCTCAATATAGAAAACAGAAATAAAGCAGGCTGTCTGGCTAAATCAGGGCAGGAGCTACAGACACCTTCCTCCCACAGTGACTGCCGAGATGCCTGCTAACAGCTTTGCAGGCATGGTTAATAATCACCGCTCCAAGAAAATCTATTTCTGTTACAAAGATCAAACACAGACTATTTTTTGCCACTGTTTAGGCCAATGTGAAATTTTTATAACACAACTAAGTATAAAGTTAAAAAGTAACATCTTCTCTCCTTTAAAAATAACAAAATAAAATTGCTATGCTATATAAAACCAAATTTTTAAAATTCCATACATAATCTTAGTTTGATCCATGGAAAAAGTTATTGGTTTCCTTAAAGTCCCTACGTTTTAAAGACTTAATTTTGTCCATATAAACTGTATCCAAAATATAAGAGGAGAATGATGGTAGGGGTAGAATATCATTTTTCTCTATCAAACATCACCCCCTACCTGATGGACCCAATTAAATATTGAGCCCAGGAATCTTAATTCTGTCATTGTATATTCAGACAGAGAAACTTGCACAAAGTACTGATCTGTTTTTAACATGAACAAGGTAAACTTCCATGGAATATTTTTTTTAGATACACATTTCCTCTTTGTTCCCAACATCTCCCCATTTATTAAGGACTACAGTAATTCATGCAGTTGATATTAGCAAAATACAAATTACTTCTTCTCTTCTGTAAAGATCATGATTAAATGTCTAAATTCAATAAATAGACTCTTTAATAATTTGACATCATAGCAGTCTCAATCTGTCTTCTTCTCTAATACATCCTTGGGCTCTTGCCTGGCAGATATTAGAGACTGTTCGCTCCTTGGCTCCTGCAGTTCTCTGCTCTCCTCCGTCGCTTCCTGGCTTTCAGTTTCGCTTTTGGACACTTCATACCGCTCTTCTATGTAGCCTCCATCTGTGTCAGCTGTGTAAATGCCATAGCACATGATGCTGATGACACCCAGAGGCAGGCCGAAGAGGAAGCAGCCCATGATCGGAGAGCTTTTGAATATGGACTGTGGAGAGAGAATTATAATAGCTCAGTCCCCTCAAGTTCATGGAGTATAAACAGCATGAGTGAATGAAAAACCACTACAGGTTGTGTTCTCTTGCTGCTATCCAACCTGCTCAATGTCAATGTTTCTGCAGTAACTACCATGTTAAAGATACTGTAAGAAAGAGAAATTTTATCTCGTGTGTGTGTGTGTGTGTGTGTGTGTGTGTGTATATGTGTGTGTGTGTGTGTGTGTGTGTGTGCATGTGAGTGTAATCAGCTCCTGGAAGTAGAAAATGCTCTATGCCATTTTTTATGCCATTTCTTTTTCTCATATGAACCACAAAGGTCTGTGTAATGGTTCCTGTGTGCTTGGCAGCTGGTGTTTCTGGCTCCAGAACTCGGCTCCCCGGGAAGGCTATTTACCATAAAGAAGGTATAACACATTGCTTTCACATGACATTTTTAATACTTGTACTTATCTAGTTAGTAGTGAGGCCACATTCACTTAATAATTTCTTTCAATTTATCTGCTATCTCCTCAGCTCCCAGAAAAGTAAAAGCAATTTCCCTGGTTAGGTTTTTAACTACAATACACTCTGAGTGACTAACTCTTGAGAACCACGTAGACAAATTCAGAGGAGCTACCAGTAAACTGAAGGATGCATGGAGGGAAACTATTAGAACTTATCTCTCATCAAGAGAAGGTCAGCTGTACTGGCCAGAATGAATGAAAACATGCAGGGGGTAGATCCAGATAGGCAACTAGAGCCAAATGTAAGGCTCTGCCAGAGTCAGGAAGGCCTCTACTCTCAAGCTGGTTGAGCCAAATCTGGAATCGCAAGAAGATTTATAAGAACAATAAGCAAGAAAGGTTGGGGTCTAAGAAGTTACAGGGGCGGGAGGAAACCCTGGAAAACACTGCTGTTACACTCACTGGTTCTGAATGGCAGTTACTCACCAAACACAAAGAGATGGAGACCAGAGAAACAATTTCCACCCATGAACATACAGTCTTAATGTAAACACAGACTTCTTATTACCTAGCAAATGAAAATATTTTTACCTAATCCTTTCAAACCCCAGATTTTACTTTAGTTAGACATAAAAAAACCTATATGCCTATATACCGTTTCCCTGAAAATAAGACAGTGTCTTATATTAATTTTTTCTCCCAGAGTTGTGCTAGATCTTATTTTCAGGGGATGTCTTATCTTTCCATGTGCTAGATCTTATTTTCGGAGGATGTCTTATTTTTGGGGAAACACAGTACTGTCTATTATCAACAAAATTAAGCAAACTGTCACAACTTACCACAACAGTAGATTTAGCATCAAATGCCATTCTTTTCAATCTCTGCAAAATGCTATCACCTCCTTGGGCCTTAAATTTAATAGAAAAAGACAATTATACCGTTAAGTACTATTACTTCAACTTCCTGTTAGGTAATTTTATAAATGCCGATCGAGGATTGAGGATGGATAACATGAAGCACCTGAAGGGCCAGGTGGTCCCATTTCTCTGGCCCACCTTCCCCTGCTTCCTGTGTAGACATTGACTCTGTGAATCCATCCTCCTTGGTCACAAGCCTGCTCCCCCCGCCCCCCCCCTCTCCCGAGTCCAGGCTTGCTCCATTTCTGAATTTAGCTGACACTGTTCAACTTCAGATACTGCAGGGATCTTTGCTACTGTACAAAGTTTCCCTGAGGATGAAGCTCAAAAAGATAGAGTGCCACCTGGCCAGTGTGGCTCAGTGGTTGAGCACAGACCCATGAACCAGGAGGTCAACATTCAATTCCCATTAGAACACATGCCAGGGTTATGGGCTCAATCCTCACTAGGGGAGGCAGCCAATCAATGATTCTCTCTCATCACTGATGTTTCTCTCTCCCCTCCTCTGCATCCCTCCCTCTGATATAAATAAAAACATTTCAAAAAAAGAAAAATAAAGAGTGCGGAAAGGCTTTTACAGAAAAATTCCTGAAGACGATCAATCACATTTTGGCATCAACACCTTTAAAGTCTGCCCTATTCCTTGACTTTCTCTGTCAGGTGAGCCAGTGAGACCTCCTTGTTAATAGTCTGAGTTGGGTTTCACTAACCCATGAATAGAAGGGCTCTCACACACACAGGTGAGTGAGAAATATAAAATCCCTACTGTTATTTCCAAAGCAGAAATACTTGCTACTTTGTGAACTAACTTTCATATAAAGTTTGTATAAAGTTGAAACAAGATAATTAAACTTCATGGAAGCAAAGAAGATTCATTTCTTTCTAATTTAATCTGCTGATGTGATTTCATGATCCTCTACCATGGGCTACAACAGTCCAAAAAACACTCCAGTAAGATTTATAGAAAATGAAAAAGTTAAAACTTCCCATTCATTATTTCTGAGAAATATTTTATAGGATCTGGAAATCTCCACTGTGGCTCTGATTCTCAATATATTACCTTCTCTCTTAAGAAACTGGTCTTATTAACAGGTTTTCTAGAAAAAACAATCTAAATAACTTAACCAATCGTCCTCTGGACTCCAGAAAGGATCTTAGAACAGGACAGCTCACAATTGGCACTGCTCTGTGCACTGCCGATGAAAGCATCCCTACATCCTGACTCTAAAGCCAGAAGCACCTCCCAATCACCGAAACAACCAAAAATGCCCCAAATCACCCTTATAGGACATTTCCACCCTCAGCAGAGTCTGGCACGAAGACCTGCCACAATGTGAAAGATGCAGGGTATGGAGGGGAGGGTGCCCTCTTCCCAGGGGCCACTGACTTTCCTTTTCAGAACCTGAGAACTGCTTTCTCTTCCACCTCCTGTCATCGTCCTCTGAAACAGAAGTGAACAACTTACTTCTACTGTGCCATCCAAAATGCTATTGATGAACTGGACCATGTCTTCAGTATTCTTGATCTGTCTATCTAGTAAAAAGTACTGCTGGTTTGAAGTATTCAGTACAACTACAGTTGGGACAGTCAATTCACTGAAAATAAAAAATAAAAAACAACAACAAAGAAATCAATATCCACATTAAACACTCAGATAACAAACATTCTAATATTTGCTTATATTATATCTAAGTAACTATAATACAAAAAGAGGGAGCCATATTAATAGCTTTGCTTCCTTTTAACTACATGAAATTTCAAATTTTGCATCAATTTTAAAAATTAGCTAAATTATGATTACATGAAAACATGCTATATACAGTATAAGACAGCTGAGTTTTCATAATTAAACTTAAGGAGAAAAATTATGTACAAAGTATCAATTTCTGGGTAATATTACTCCTTGCCACAGATATTAAATACCATCTCTGTTAATCACATATTACCCAAGTGTATTTTGTTTGTTTGGCTATTCATCCATGTTGTAAGTTTTGTTATGCATAATGTATGTGTCCAGTGTATTTTTTCTGCCTTATATTTTGAAAACCCTATTGAATAAGTTATGTTTCACCATGACTATGATTCTGTCAAACTCTCTGATTACCCTGAATTTTGCTTTAAATGTTTATATATATATATATAAATAATGTTTTTATATATATACATACACACACACACACACACGTAAACGGCTTGTAATTTCATATACCACCTACATATCAGCTTACAGTTATTGTATGTCTATATCAAAGTGTTTCGCAAAAGGAGAAAATGAATTTAAACCACTAATTATTGCACACAGTAACCAAGTCCAGGAGATCATTTTGTTGCTCATAATTCTTTATCCCTCCCTAAGCCACACCCTTTGCCCACTGAATTAAGGTGAAACATGCTCATCTGACCCCTGACACTGGGCAGGGCCATGACTGGGTCAACAGGAAGTAACACACCTGATGAAGCAGAGGCTGAACATGTGCCTGCATTGTTGGGTTTGCTTTCTTGTGTTTTGTGACTGCCAGGAGATAGATATTCTCAAGAAAACATCCTTCCAAGGTCAATGTATATTTAAAAACTTAAAGTACTTACTGAAAAACTGTGTGTATTAGTCTGTCTGTCTCTCAGAAACAGAAATTTAAAAATCAACAGATTGATCAGGAAATCATTTAATCATTTAGTACTTACTCCATCAGCAAGGTATTTATATAGTCATTCCCATCCATAAGTCCAAACTGAAAATCCCTAAGCAACAACAACCAAAAATGAGAGGGAGAGAGAGAGAGAGAAAGGAAAAGAGAGAGAGGGAGAGGGAGAAAGGGGGTGGAGAAAGAAAGCAATATTTAGTACAAAAAAAGAATGGCACTTGGTAAGCATGTAAATAAATGCTTAACATATAAATTACATACAATAAATGTGGTACAGTGTGAAATTAAACACATTCTAAGACATTTTTACTTTGTTTGTATATATTTAAATTCAAAGCAATATAAGTCTTTCTAACTAACTATACAACATGTTTAAGAAAAGTTACACACCCAACAAAAGGACTACTCAAAAGATGCTCATCTGTAAGTATATATCACTGATACATCATTAGAAGATGAAATAAAAGGGAATAGCAACTAATATAACAAGTTTAAGACTATCTCATGTCAGCAACAAATAGAATGATTTAGCACACAGGAAAAATATCACTTATTTTTACATTCTGTTATTCTTTGAGGTCCTGTTATAAGCATCACATCACTTTATCTGACTTGAGATTGCTCATTTAACTTTATCTCAAATGTATGAGCCTACGTACATATCTTCTCATTGTAAAACTTATCCCAAATCCTATCAAGAAACAGGTATATTGCAAATTTGTTGAGGGGACATATAAAAAAAAACTTCAAGTTCAGACAATTCATACAGAAATGCAATCACTTCAGCTCCGTAATTCATCTGGGTAAGGATAAAATATTAGTCTTTTGGTTTATTGTACAAAACACAGTTAACTGAAACTAGAAAAATTGTCCCGAGTGCAAGCACCTACCTGTGGAACTGATCTCTGTAATCTCTAGCAACTTCCTGAATAATTGACTTCAATCTGCAGTACAACAAACACATGAATATTTCATTTTTCACTTGAAAAATATAATTATTCCATTATAACATCTCATCTGCCTCTTGATCTAAAACTGCAGGAATAGATATTGTATTAAGTTTATCTGAAGCCATGTAAAGTCTAAGTTTGGTGACACTGGAAGCTTAAAATGATTTCAAGGAACTGTACCTGGTATGTTCAATTGATGTATTTTTCTCATCAATAACTGCAATAGCCACAAGCTTTCCTGAAATTAAGAAAAACATATCTAAATTGAATAACTCTCATTATGCAGACTTTTCAATTATTATTGCAGCTGTGAATGGGGAATTAGTAAATACTGTTTGTAGAATTGAATTCCAGTTATCTCACACATGTTACACTCAGTAGAGCCAATCAGTGAATTAGTGGACTCCAAGTGTTAAGTTCCCTCCCAGCACCTATCCTCATAATTAAACAACAGTAAATATTTAATAGCTCACATACACATATTGTATTTTCCATACAACCCATAAAATGATTAAAATAAGAAGTCTTTCAATAACAAAAGCCATAAGAAATAAGTCAATAAATGAAACTTACTATTAATTACTGTAGCTCTAAAAGAACAGTGTATAAGGAGAATAATTTTTACATTGCTATTCCCTTCAGTACCACGAGTCACTATTTCCAGTAATAATACACAGAATAAAACTGAAGCAAAATTATTTAACCCTGCACAGAACATAAGCCATATTCATCTCTGATGCCCTCTGGGAAGGCAGCATGACCTTCTGTGTCTATCATGCTCTCTGCCTGGGCGAACAATGGTGAAGCACCATCACTTATTAGCTGAAAGACTTACCTCAGGAACTTCACCTTACTTTAGAAACTAGTACCAATATCAAAGTTATTGGAAAAGTTGAATGAGATTACATGCCCAAAAATATTGGGACAGTTTCTGGCTCAGAGCAGATATATACATGTGCTATTCAATCAACCATCTCTCAATTCCCCATAAGGGGGCAAGGAGGCAGCTGATCATTGTTTCTCTGTCATTGACGTTTCTATTTCTCTCTCCCTCTCTTTTCCTCTCTCTCTAAAAATAAATAAATAGAACATATTTTTAAAATAGAGCTTAAAATTTATTTCCTCAGAATTAGATTTAAGTGATAAATCAAGAAGAAATTCTGTGACGGAATAGAGAACTGTATGTATATTTGCACCTGTATCTCCAAGTTCATACAAGAGGAAGCCGTCCATAGTCAGGTAATTCTGAAACCTCTCCCTGTTGATCCAAGATGACAGGTCACCATCTTCATACTCTTAAAAATGAAAGAAAGTTGATAATTAGGGTGTAAATATGTCGTTATGATGTTTACAGCATTCTACTCCAGCAATATGTGTAAAATGCAGGATCATAATCTTAAGTTAATAAATCCCACTTATAGAGTTGTTTTCTAAACAAACACACAGATGCACTACAGGTTTGATGCACAGAGCAGTGCTTCACTATGAGGTTGCTGCATTGCCGGGCAGACCTCAGAGCATCACCTGGAAATTACTGTTAATTTTGTTCAGTGCTGTAACTGGATGTGATTACCTACACAAAAAAAGGCCACATTTTTGAGAGATGTGGAATAAAACACATAATGATTAAACGCCACCAGGATTTGCTTTCAAATACTTCAATTTTTGTTGAAGAAAAAACTTGCTGAAGCAAATGTGAGTAAGAGCTTGGTCATTGTCTCACTTAGGTGATGGGTGTGTATGAAGGGATTTATTACGTTAGCATTCTGCTTACTATTATGTATGTTTAACATAATAAAAATATTTTAAAACCAGGCTGAGTATTTGCTTCAAGGAAGCAATGCTTAGTGGCTGCTTCCATTGAGCAGGAAGAGGTGATGGTAGGCAAGGATACAACAGATGTCACCACCATTGAGGATGTTATATTTCTTTACTTTTTTATGTCTCTAAAATATATCTTTAAAAAAAAATTAATTTTGAAAGTTTAAAGAAATCTATAGAAACTGCATAGGGTTAACTTCTGAAAAAAGGCAAATGAGCTCACCAAAAAATAAAAATACTATAGAAAAGCACAACCCAGAAGGAAAGAACACTGATTTGAAGGGTAAGAAAAAATGTGTCAGTCATTCAACTAACTGGATAGATTATGGGAGCTGTAAGAAGCAGTTACATTTACAAAATCTTTCATCAACACCCAAGTACTGTAAGAGACACAACATTTTAATGTTAAAATGTTTTATGTAAACTAAAGCTTTAGAACTTACCATCATACACAAAGTAAGTTTCATCTTTGAAAACAAGCACGGCGGGCATCTCCTTCAGAGTCACGTACTGCAAAGATCAGATGTGTAAACAATCTTATCTAAAAATTTTCAATTGGTAGTTATGGTTTCAAGATTTTTAAAGGATGCCAGGAAAGGAGAAAAACACCTAACAATGACAAGTTGTTACAATTATTTAAAAAGAGCACAGTGAATCCCAAGTTCATTCAAGAACTGGGTTGGATCTCTTTATACACCAGTCACCTGGCATAGTGCCCTGTTTGCTCAGGTGAAAACCATGGATCACTCTTAGGTTTGACAACAGACCTGAAGATGCGGGAGACACTGGGGAAATGGCCGAAGAGTGGGGCCTAGGGCATCAGTCAGCACAGGCAGGTTCTGGTTCCTCCCACCTCCCCAGGGCTGTGCGATGATTACACTGCTTTACCTGGAAATCTTACACACTGAATATTTTTTCCTTAAACAGTTTTTTTCTTGGCTTCCTCACTCATCTTGTTTTCCTATTCACTGGCTATTTCTCGTCATTTTCCTTTGCTGTCATTAGGTCCTGGGCCCTCTTACTTCCTTAAAACTTTGCATCCAATGTTTAAGGAATTTATTTATACAGACTTAATCCTGACTCCATACTCAACTGTGTACTAGAATTTGATGCTTGTACTTGGATATCTAATATGCTAAATCAAATTAAAATGAACAATTCAAAACTCTTGATCATGCCCCCTTTTTCCCCCATTCCCCAACTCTTTCTTTCAGCAATAACCTCAAAGCTCATAAAACACCACCATCTACCCAGTTGTTCAAACCAAACACCTATGAGTCATTCTTAATTCTTCCTTTGTCCTCCAGGTCAGCAAGTACAAAGAATTCTATTCTCTCTGATTCTCTTACTAACCTCCAAACCCAAACTTCCTATATTACTTCAAGAGTTCACCTACTGACATCCCTATCCACTTCATTCTGCACTTCACATATTAGTAGAATAATGTACTTAAAATGAACATAAGACCATGTTCTTCACCAACTTTCAACTGATTACATGATTGGCCATGACCTGTAAGGCCTCCACAGGCCTCTGCCTGCCTGCTATTTCCTTTCTCATTGCATTAAGACCACACTGGCTTACTACTCTGTTCCTCAAATATGCCAGGAGGGTACTCACTGTGGGCACCTGTAGTTTCTCTTCCCTACTTCTGGTTTCCTCTGGCCACAGAAGTCTACATGGCTCCTTCCTATTATCCAAGTCCCAGTTCAACTATTTCTTCTCAGTTTGACATTTCTTGATCAAGGAATCTAGAGCAGCCATTCCACCTCTTATTGTCCCCACAATTGCACTGCTCCTTTATTTTTTACAGTGATTATTAGAAGCCTGATGCTCAAAGATTCGTGTAAGAACGGGCCTTCCTCCCCTGGCTGCCGGGCAGTGTCTTCGCTCTAGCTGGAGCTGCCTTTCTGCCTTCCTACACTATCAGGAGGCCTGGAGCAACTGGAGTGGTGTGGAACGCCTATGTCATTGCTATGGTGATGGCACAAGCATCCCGCCCCGCCCCAGCCACTTGGCACCAGTGTATGCAAATTAACCTGCAATCTTTGTTGGGTTAATTTGCATACCCACTCCTGATTGGCTGGTGGGCGTCACAAAGGTATGGTCAATTAGCATGTTACGTTTTACTAGGTAGAGATGACATCCTATTTGTAGATCGGTTTACCAAGGATCACTACCTTAGTCAGAAGACCCAACAGAAGAGATCACCTGCAATGCTCACATTAAGTCCACTTCCTCCACCAGGAGAATGTGAGCTCTGTCTACCAGGGTCGCAGGCATTGGCTCATCTTCCATCCATTACTTACACAGAGCTTAGCACAAGATTAGAGGCCAAGAAGTAGTCATTTATTCTACAGCTATATATAAGTAAATCCACTACTTACAAACCAGTTAAGGGTATGAAGATCACCTCTTACAGCTGCTATTATTTTAAAGTAAAAAAAAAAAAAGCTAATGTAAACAAAATTCGTAAATGCTATAATCTAGTGGTATTTGCTTATTAACAATAAGCCATCTGGTACCAATTGAAAAGAATGAACATGTTTACTGTTTCCATATCTATCTCAGTTAATAAATCTTACAGATAAAATCAAGTAATAAGTTAAAGATTGAAATTAAGTTATTAAAGTCTAATTTTAAATATTACCTCAGGAACCACTTCTTCTGAGGCAGAAAAGAAGTATGTATATACAATTAATTCTGAAGCGGCATCTATATATTTCTCCTGTGAAAATACAAACATAAAAAGGTGACTTAAAAATATTAAAATCAAAATTAATTATTCATTAACAATCAGAGCAAATTGTATAATTCACTAACTAGTATACCACAATCTATCTTAAGTCCTTTTATGTGAAAATATCTATATTTATAAAAACATAATATGAAGTGATCAGATGGAGGAATGACTGGTCACTTGATGCACACTGCCACCAGGGGGCAGACGCTCAACACAGAAGCTGCTCCGTTTTCTACCTGGTAGGCTGGTAGGCAGGCTCTGATCACCCAGTGGGGAATGGGGAACCAGGGATGGGTGGCAGCAGCAGACACAGGTGGTGTCAGGCCAAGGTGGATGCGAGCAATGCCACGATCAGTCCACCGGTTCCCCACACACAGAGGATGACTGGTGGTGGTTGGGAAAGTTGAGGTGGTTGGTTGCCTAGAGCTGGGGGAGATCGGCCCTGATTGCAGGCCAGGCCTAAAGACTCTCTACCCATGCACACATTTTGTGTGCCCAGCCTCTGGTAGACTATAAGCAAATAAAATAAGCTGTTTGTATGGCAAAAGACTATTATAACTAAGAGCCTTCAAACTCTTCCAAATAGTTTATTAGGTATAACAGAAGCTCAACTCATACTTATTAATTTAATTTGATGAGTACAGGAAGGGATGTGTGTACCTATATGCACATATATGCATATAAAATAATTTAAGATAATGATCTTTTGCATTTAAAAAATTTTACATTCAAATTGCATTTTTTAGTCTCAAAGGTTCAAAATATTAAAAATTTTAACCAGATCAATAACAAAAGAAATACCAAGGCAGGCAACATCTGCCCACTTTTTATTTACTTTTGCTTCATGAAGGCAAACACTGTAGAGGATATATTAAAAAATATATATATATGTATTTTTATTACAAAAATAATTAGATTGAGCTAAAGTATGTCCCACAAAAGTAAAGTTTGAGTCTTTGATGAAATTTTGGATAAAAAAATAAAATCATTTGATACCTTCAAAGTTGACTCTCCACCTATATAAACAAAAAATACACGATGTCTTTTCTGCACATGTTCAAACATCTGCTGACTTGGAAGTGGCCGAATTAGTGCTCTGTTTGAAAACAACAAAAACAAAAAATGAACTTGAATTTGAACTAAAGACAGAACAAATCAATCCTACCCATATGATCTAAATTTAGAATGTTTAAGTGCTATATTAAATGTATTTTAAGTGTATCACCCAATCCTTATTAATCTAATAAAACTATAGTCCATGATCACTATTATACCCATATAATAAAAATATAGCACCCACAATTTAATCTATCATTTTAAATATTAAGTTTCAAATATATCCCTTTAGAGTACCAGTTTAGCCAATATTCAAAAAACAATCCATTTAAGTGTATTTTTTTTTTCAAAAGATCATTCACACAAGCATACTGTGAAATACTATCCCAAGAGTTTCTGATACTATATTAAGAATATTTATCTAACACTGTTCATTTAAATGCTACATAATTTTAAAATGCCCTAGAAAGGTTAAAATCTAAAAGGTTTCGTAAGTATGCTTTCTTTTCAGGAAGAATAAAATGGAAAATCAGTCATAATAGTACATAAAAAATTCATAAACAGAAAACCAAGTGGTACGAAGATTTTATTATATAAGCATATGTCAAACCCAACAAGATTATATCAAAGGTTATTACAAAACGTATTACTTATGAAATATTATTAAAAAACTAAAAGAAGAGGCAGTGCTCTATATTATCGGATTTTTTACTTCACCAAATTTACAAAAGAACAAACCACATTTTGCAAAGGCAAACACATTTCAAAATGTACAATTCACTCTACTCCAGCATTGCATCACTCTACTCCAGCTCCTATTTTAACTTGAGTAATTAACTGGTAACTGATGTAACTCCAGAACCGACTCTTGAAATTTCATTTCCAACAGAGTCACCCCTCGTTACAACAGGAGAGCCCTTCTTAAGATTAAACTAAAACATTAAAAATTGCTAAAGCATACTAGTAAAGACTAATGTAAATAATGAGGGAATAAAGTACAGCCTACTAACAATGCCCTTATATAATATAAAGTTATTGTAAAACTTACTTATTCACAAAGCAAATAGACAATTAAATTTGTAGTTAATGTAAAAATAGTGACAATTACATTAATAAGCTTTGCAAACTATAATATATAAAGATCATTCCTAATTCTTTGCCTTTCCTCAAATAATTTAAGAGAGTATCATGTCACTCAACAAATCCATCCAATATTTTAATTTACTTTAAAACTACCAATATAATATACTCTGTCAAGCTCATAAGAAAGTGCCTATTCTGCTGAACGTTCTCTTAAAAAAGCTGCACATAATCACTTTAATAATTATAAACAACAACTTTCTTTATACCCCAGAGCAAAATGTACATTAAAACATAAAATCACTGCTTTTAAACCAACAGGAAATGCTTATGGAAGCACATGGGTTTCAATTATGTCACATTCTAGGCAAAATGTGTAGTAATACCTCACAGTTGGCATAAAGCAGCATATGGTAGATCAGGGCAAGTATTTCAGCTGAATCTACAAAGCATTTTTCCATCATCACAGCCTAGGGATTAAAAGCCCAAGACTAGTCAGAACAATAATATTGTGAGGTTTCTTGTAAAAGTTTAAAATCAGGTAACAATAAAAATAAAATGATACCATAACCAGTTGGGCTCAGTGGATAGAGCGTCAGCCTGTGGACTCAAGGGTCCCAGGTTTGATTCTGGTCAAGGTCATGTACCTTGGTTGTGGGCACATACCCAGTAGGAAGTGTGCAGGAGGCAGCTGATTAATGTTTCTCTCTTATTGATGTTTCTAACTCTCTAACCCTTTCCCTTCCTCTCTGTAAAAAATCAATAAAATATATTATAAAAAAAATAAAATAAAATGATGTAAGCCAGGTAGTAGAAAAGCAAAATTATAATAATATAAAAATTAGTCATTAAATATTGAAAATCAATTAAAAATTGGGAGAAAAATTCTTCAATACTGTAAATAAATTTAAATATGAAATTAACAAGTATCACAAACCTCCCCCTTGTCATTTTTTGAAGAATCTTTTTGCATATTCTATGTAACCCTAACTTTTCTCATAAATAAGTAGATAAATTTTATTCAGATTAAGTCCTTCAATAATGATCTATAAAAATAATTTAATTTTCAAATAGTGATACTATCCATTAAATGTCTTTCCTAGTAGAAACTTACCCAGATACTCTGTGAGCAAACTCAATAATATCATCTTTAGTTCGTGGTCCTCTATAATTATATGCCAAGTCCCCTTTTAATCTTAAAAAGAAAACAAAAACAAAAAAAGTTTGGATTATTTCAACTATTTTAATATTTAATGATAACCAATCAGTACTATTATATAAAATTACAGTATATAAAAATAGTATATGGAATGATGGAGAAAAAATAGCATAACCACATGAAATACAGTAGGCAACTGGCTTCAGGAGACCAGCAACTCCAAATATAAAGAAAAAGGCAGTATTTTGTTAAAATTACATGAAAATAATTTACTCTGTATTTGATAGTTGCATTGCATCTATGTCTTCTAAATAATGAGTAATTTCTCACTGTTTTTTTCTTATTAAAAGCAAGTAAAAAGCCAGGGAATTAATAGTACTTTGGTAGTGATAAAACAAATCTTAAGCACTATAATATCATAGAAACTTGAAAGATGCTTCAAGATTATAGAATAAAGCAGTGCATAAAAATATCTCTTATAGAAATTAGATTATTTCTAAAAGCCTGCCAATGAATTATGTGTTCATCATAGAATTAAAAAAAATTAAGAAAGTACAACAGAATATTTATAATTAAAGAATGAAAAGGATAATTTACTTAACACAAGAAAGTAAAAGCGGTTTAGCAAACATTTAAAAAGTGAGGGAAGGTGGGAGATCAATACAAAACCGAAGAATAAAAAAATAAAATTACTCAATTTTTGAAATTTGAATTTTTAAAATAGTGAACTAAAAACTTACTTCATTATAAAAATAAGTTTTAAAACAATTCAACTCCCCATCTTATCAAAATAAAGACTGGATGAAATGCATTAGAAAATTCAGTAAAACAATAATTATAAAATAAGCCCTTTAGATTTATTACTCCATTTCTTCCAACATATACACTATGTTAGACTTGATCAACACCTTCAGATTACAATTACCAGTAACATCTATAAATTTGATTCTCTTTGTTTCTTTCACTCTAATGAAATATCCTTTATAATTATAGAAAGTAAAATTTGTTAGGAGACAGGAATCACATGATAAAGTAGAATATACTCTGGAGCTGCTCAACGTAAAAGACCTTCTATAACTAGGACTACATACTTTGTCCTGCACAGTGCCTGTCACAGTCAAATCTCGTTTAATGAATCAGCCTTTAATAAACAGCACATTCACTTAAACACAAAAGCAAGCATAAAGATGCAGTCCCTCTCCTTTGATCATATCCTGCCCCTGGAAAGAACTATTGAACCCAAACCTTAACTCCTCCATGGAAAGTACTAGGACTTAATCTAATAAAATGTAAGTAGAGTGAACTAATAAAAATACACATATAAACATACAACACTCAACTTACAGCTTAATTGTTGGATAACCTCGAACTCCAAACTCTGAAGCAATGCCTTGATAAGAAAAAGAATAAAAGTTCTAAATTTTTTTTAAAATGAGAAATTAGGTCATAAATGAGCCTTTTTACTTAAAAAACATATAAATATGTTTATACAAACTTATATATATATAGTGTTTTATCTCTAAAGAGAATATAAACTCACAAAAAGAAAAACATGACATTCTCATACAAAATAATTACTTAACATCTAACCTACACCCTACACAAAATCCTGTGACAAAATAAGAAATAAGTGCTAAAAGAATAGTTAAAATTTTGACTCAACAGTACTTTTTTTTAAAGATAGTCTTGTTTTAAAATATATAAATAAACACATATAAATAAAGTCTCACTTCTCCTTTGACTTCCTTTCCAGCACAAATATTTCTCTAAAAAAAGGGGTGGGGGGAGGGCCCATTTCTTCATTCAAAGCTTTCTGAGTCTTAAAAGAACTGCACTGCACTTTACTTTTAAAAACAGTCATATCTGCAAAATTATTTAATTTCTATAGTCAGTATATGATCTGAAATCAACTTTATCCCACAAGGTTTTAGAAGTTTCTGCTTTTGTAATAACCTGGTATAATTCCAATTGACACAGATTATTTAGAAAGGAGAGACCCAATGCATGAAATTCGTGCATGGGTGGGGTCCCTAGTAGCTGTGGGATGGAGCCTTCCTTCGTTCCGCACCACCCTCTGGTGGTCAGCACACATCATAGGAAGTGATCAAACTCCCAGTCTCCAGTTGAACTCCCAAGGGGATGCTTAGTATATTAGGCTTTTATATAGAGAGATTCTCAAGTTCAAATGAGATACATTTGCTACAGTAGCATCTTTTTAAAGGAAAGAAAAAATAGTAACAAGTACAAGCAAATAATAGAGACTCAAGGCTTTAAGAATTACAGAAATCATGATAGTAAATTAATACTAATTCTTCACAGATTCAAGGCAACTAGAACATTAAAAACAAAATAACTATTCTCAGTTAACAGACTATCCTATATAGTAGAGGTAATATGCAAATTGACCATCATGCCATCACATAAGATGGCTGCCACCACGTGGCCACAAGATGGCCTCTACAAGATGGCCAGCAAGGGAGGGCAGTTAGGGGTGACCAGGCTGGCAGGTCTATTAGAGGAAATTGGACCGGCAGGGGAGGACAGCTGGGGGCTACCGGGCCGGCAGGGGAGGGCAGTTGGGAGTGACAAGGCTGGCAAGGGAGGCAATTAGGGGCAACTGGGGTAGCAGGAGGAGGACAGTTGGGGGCAATCAGGCCAGCAGGGGAGAGCGGCTAGGGGCAATCAGGCCAGCAGGGGAGCAGTTAGATGTTGATGAGACTAGCAGGGAAGTGTTTAGGGGATGATCAGGATGGCAGACAGAAGTGGTTAGGGCCAATCAGGCAAGGAGGCAGGTAAGCAGTTGGGAACCAGCAGTTCCAGATTGTGAGAGGGATGTCCGACTGCCAGTTTAGGGGAGGCCCTGGCAAGATTGCTCAGATGGTTAGAGCTAAGGTTTTGGCTTCAATATTCAATCAGGGCACATATAAGAATCAATCAGTAAATGCATAAAAAAACAAAATAGCAAATCGATGTTTTCTTCTCTCCTCTCCTCTACAAATCAATATGTAAAATAAATTTTAAAAAGAAATGATTTTGGGGACGTTATGTGAGTAAAGTATATTCTTACTACTTCTCATCCCAAATTAAGGCAGGTAAATATAAGCCCTCATCACCTTCACCCAAAGCTCATTAAAAACTGCCAAAGGTAAAGACTAGCATAATTGATTGAGCAGAAGGCACATCCCCCTAGCAACTCCTTATACAATGTAGTGTAAAATTTATTCAGACATAAAATTAAAAATGCAATTAAATGAGAAAATACAGTGGTGGTATTCTGTAACTTGGTGTTGTTTCTCGCAATAGGTTTCAGAGAAATTTATCCCCATCACTTCATCTCCCTGATCTCAGTGTTTTCTATCTATAAGCTGGAGATGTATAATACCACCCACTCTGCAGTCCCTTTTGCTCTTTGAACATACCTTTATTCCTGATAGAATTTCAATTGACAGTTTCCTAAAACTTCAAACTTAAGTTTCCCTTGAGGAAAATGGTCATATAATTTATAAAAGCACACAAGCAAAGTATGAGTTGTAGACATATAATGACCCAAGTTAGCATCCCAACTTCATTTATCATCTGTGCAGCTCTGAATAATTTACTAACAAACTGCAGATGGATCACGAGAATTCTCACTTCACATTACACAGTGTTTTACAAAGTATCATACTTTGGAAAGATATTAGCTTGAAATAATATGTAATAAATAACTTCAAAATGCAATGGGTATTTAATTTTAAAGTGTGCCTTTAACATTTAGGTAAAACTTTTTTGGTACTTGTTCAATAGAAACTTATCTGGCAAATGGGTAAAGCTAGCAATAAAAGTACTGGTCCGCAATGGGTCTGATTGCTTCCCCATCTGAAGATGTAGGATTATGGGTGCAACTTTACCATGAGAATACAAATAAAAAAGAATCTAACAGAGAATCTGGCACGCAGAGATCCTCAAATGCTAGGTCCACTTCCTTTCTATTCTTGATCCTGACTTCACTGTTATGTAATAATCTGCTGATAATTCTATGTACAGATGATATTACTAAGTATTAGCATGTGTAGAAAACTTATAATTGGCTTTAATTTACATTTTTGTTGGTTTCATTACTAGAGAATAGTTTGTATAGAAATCTAAGATTAATTCCTTTACAATTTGAAGAATCCATTTTGTAAATAATCCTAATTGAGGTGTAATGCGAAACCTCTATTTTTTTTTTGTTTTCTCTTTGAAATAGTTTGAAGGGACAGAAAAGCTTGGTGGTGGATTCATGGTGATCTTGGACTCTGGGCCTAAATCTTCCTCTAAATTCATTGACTAAAATCACTCAGAGTCATTTCACTGCAAATAATCTTCCATTACTTCATCTACACAATGGGAAGGAGGAGAAGTAAAGAGCTGAACTTAATTTAAAGTCCTTTTCAGCTCAAAAATGTTGTTTTTCTTAGCATTTAGTGTCATTATGTGTCTGACACGAAAGGGAATAAAATACAGCAATGGTTCTCAATTCGGGGGGAGCATTGACCTCTAGGAGCCACTGAGCAATGTCTGGAGACATATTTGGTGGCCACAACTTGGGAGTAAGAGGACAATGCTACTAATATCTAGTGGGTAAAGACCAGGGATGCTTCTAGACATCCTACAATGAATAGGAACTCCTTCTCCCTCCAAAAAGAATTATTTGGCCCCAAATATCACCAGTGCAAATATAATCTGTGAACAAGGAATTAGAATACAAATGTTATTGGCCAAATTGCAAGTTTATAAATAAGAGAGATGTAAAATATGAACTTTATCATGCAACTATCACAATTCCTCAATTTAGGTTAAGGAATAAACAGAATTTCAATGGTTTAATAATGAAAATCAATACATCATTGCAGCTAACATTATAACTATTTTCAATTTTATACAAGACACACTTTTAGCACTCATTGTTGAAGGGATATGTATGAAAAGAGAAGCTAAAATACATATATGAATTCACACTGGACATTATACAACTTTTTAATGTTATTTGGTTACAGTACTATTAGTTGACACTAATAGTACTGTAAAAAAATTTTGGTACAAAACCGCTGGACAGAATAAATCATGATAGTTCAAATTTCTCTAGTTCAAGAAGAATTCTATACCGAGATTTGCTGGACTGAATGTAATGGCATTTGCTTCCACTCTCTGCAAATATATGCATGACTGAGAAATAAGCTACCCTCACAAATACTCTATGAGATATTCTATAGTTGGCCACTGAATAATCCTATCCCACTCAAATCAAAGTTCTATAAATAACTATCCATCAAAATACTTAATTTTGTGATTCTCCTGCTTAAGTGTGCAGCACAATCGCCTGAAGTCCATGTAAAAATACAGATTCTCATGACCCAATCTCAGAGATTTTCGGTCGGCAGAGCTGGTGTGGCCTTTGGAATCTGAGTTTATTTGAGCACCCCAAGTAACCCTAACGTAGGTGATGCGGAAACACTGGCTCTGTGACTGCCTGAAAAGCCACGTTGGGGGAAGGAAGAGCTCCCCATGAAACAGCCAATCTGTTAGTGACCTAGCGTTAGGCACGGAGTTGTGTTGGCAGCTAGCTTAGGAAACAGTCCTCAGGACACACTAGTCCTTTTTCCTAAAGCGAGAGGTTTGCTTCAGATAATGTTTTAAATGTCTACATTTCACACATTGTAACCTCTGGCGAGGTTTTTACTCCAATGCTAAGTGAACAAATAAAACCTAACTATCTTAAGATCAGTGGCAAAATTTAAACCTTTTAATGGCTTATGAAAATTAAATGAAAAAAAAAGTTCTATCATATAGTATTTAAAAAGCTACAAACTATATATGAAGTCTTAAGATGGAAAAGAAAATTGCTTTTAGTAGCAGCAATTAAAATACTTTATTCTCTAAGCTACTCAGAAAGAAGTACCGTATTAACTATTTTTCTCCTATTTTCATGCCACTTAATAGTGTATACGGAGCACTTAGTACTGAATAAGCTAATGAATATGATATGAATTCCTGACATAATGTAAACTGTTATCACTGCAGCATTACATAAGTAGTTCTCCATTAAGATGTTTACTGATTTATAGGTACTATTTTTCTCATTATCTTTATACTTCCATATTCCTTTACACATTACTTTACTACTCCACTGAATGATTCAAAGGATCAAAGAATGTGGCACTTTTATGACTTTATTGCACTTGTTAGTTTGTTCATCTCTCTCCTTCCATTTAACTGTAAGTATTTCCAGGACAAGGATTTGTTTTGGTTTTTGTTTAATTTCTACAGACCAGTACAGGCTTGACAAACCAAATATTGACTGAGTGACCATGAATAAATGACCATATGAAGAATATATATTTACATGCATGTCTAATCAACATAAAAGTGTAGAAACAATAATTTACTTTCATGAGCAACAGTTGAAAGGAGTAACTTCTTAAACTTTTTTAAAAGTTTATTTCAAGAAATACCAAGCATATTAATCTGTCTCTACAGTAACTTCCTACCACTGATTTCTCAAAGTTTCAACAATTCATTTGTGTGACTCAATTAATTCCAGCTCTAACATCTTACATGTACTCTAATTCCCTATTCCTAAACATAAATAAAGCAAAAGACCACTAACTCAAAAAGCTGTTAACATGAAAATGCATACAAATTTCAATTTAGTATTATTTTCCACATAACCAGTTCAGTAACTCTGCTAAGTATCCTATACTATTATTTTTGTTTTTCTTTATATCACAGAGCTAATCTGTCACATCTTTATTTTCACCCTTGAAAATGTCTCCAAGAATTACTCTTTCATCTTTACTCCACTGCTAACCACTCAAGTCAAGGCTTCCAGCATCCTGCACCAACATGCACACAGTCAATGTAGATGGTTTTCTTGTCTCTTCCCTTCTTTCCTTCCTACATGTAGCAAGCCATTAGCCTTCTCAAAAACATGTATTGCCTCTTAATTGACTAGCAATAAAACCTAAAACCCTTTGTCCTACATGAGGGCCCCTTAAAATCTAGAATTACCTCTTGGCATCTTGTATGTAGTAGCTATCATGGTAAGGGTTTTGAATATGAAATATCAATACAATCATAACCTAGAGGATTATTACTCTTCCATTTATAGACAAGAAAATTGAAATGAAGAGATTAAGTACTTCCCCAAAGCCACAAAAGCAGGACATGGAAGAGTTAGGATTAAAACATAGGTCTTGTTCCAAAATTGTATCCAGAGTATAAACCTGATTTTCTAAAACGAATTACTCACTACAAACTTCCACTTTCTTCACTAATTAAAGGAAAAAGGAACCTACATTTATTAAATACTACAATAGTCTTTACAGGTGCTATATCATTGAAACTTCAAAATAATCACTAAAAGTGGCCTTACAAAAAAATTTACCTCTGTGAAAATAGAAGTTAGAGGTGCTAAGACACTTTCCTGGTGCTGTACAGCAAAAGCATATCTAAATAAAGCATATACACAGCAGAGTCAGGTCTGTTCTCTGAAGCTATCCTCTTTCCAAATTTCTATGATGTCTCATACTCCTCTAAACTTAATTTTGTCTTTTCCCAAGTCCTTTAAGACAGGCATTGGTAACCTTTTCTGTTTAGGGTCATAAAAAAAAAAATGTTTGGGCTCTGTCGGTGATAGTCTCTGTTACCACCACTCACTGTGCTAATGGAACATGAAGACAACCACAGGTAATAGTATACAAATAGTGTGCTGTGTTCCAGTAGAGCTCCATTTACAAAACCAGATACTGTGGTGGCCAGATTTCGCCCATGGGCCATAGTCTGCCAACACCAGTCTATTCTATGGTATGCACTCAGTAAACTCATTTCCAACTCTATGATTTTGCTCTAATACTCTCTCTCAAGTGAATACTTTCCTGACCCTCACATGCATTTATCCTAACTCAACTCATCTTTCCTATTCCCATTTACTCCTCAGCCATGCTGTCTCACACTACTCAAACAACAAACTCTCATTTTAATTTACACACCAATATCAATAGGTTAGTGCTCAAATTCCATAGTTGCTTCAAGTCACACTTTATCTCAAGTGGGCTCAAAATAGAAACAATAGCTTACACATCTCCAATAGGCTTAAGGTTAACATTACACATTCAATGGTTAATTCATTTAACTCATAAAGCATAGTCTTAAATTAAGAGAACTTTAATTTCACATGGGCAAAAAAAAAAAAAAAACAACCATGGATTTCTTCCTCCTACCTTGAATAAAGGTTTGCAAATTTATACAGTTTCATTAGGCTAACAGTTAAAAAGTAAATTGAGTAAATGCTTACTAGAATAGGAAGTAGCATCCATCTTTCCAACTTTAACTGGCGAACCAATGTTTTTCATTTCAAGACCAACTTCATTCCAAATCGGCTCCAGTTTTTTACAATGACCACACCATGGTGCATAAAACTTGTTAAAAAATAAACAAATACAATTACTAAAATATTGTGCTACTGTGGATATCAGCCTTAATTTTAAAGACCCTCTTTGACAAAATGATCTGATTATAATCTATTTTAGACAAAACAAAGAATAAGTATTACTTTTAAATTGGTTAATATAAAACACAGACATAAAGCATACCCCTCCATACTGACACTATTTTAAGGAAACTTTAAATCTTATATATATTCTTCATATGATTTACAATAAAAGCATCTTTGTTTGTAAGTGATGTGTCCATGTTATGTATAAAATGAGATCACCAAATACAACACGCATCATGTGCACACTCCTTAGGTGTTAATGATAAATTTGAATCTATTTCTACTACAAAAATTGTGTGCCTTTACTGGTTTAAGAGTAACCATCGATAAAATAGGGAAAACCATTAAGATAACTGCCTGGTTTGGCAAAAGGACAAGTCAGACTGGTTAAACTAAAACCACAGTTCTTCCTTCTTTAGAATCAGCCAGGCTGAGGTGGCAACTGATGTTAGGTTAAACGCTATAACAAAATTCTTGCTGTCCTTCCATGAAATAAGACTTATCTATTTTTGAACATTATACTGTGGCAATGTTCAAACACAGGCATGAGAGAGAGGGAGAAATACACAATGAACCTTGTGCCCACAGCCTGGCTTCACTAAGTGTCCACTCTGCTACCGTGAGTCTGCTTCTTGCACTGCCACTCTCCTCTTTTACTGAGGCAGGTGAAAAAGAACTCCAAACACCAGCAAATGTGAATATATTCCACACTTGAAAATGAGGAAAATTTGACTGTTACTATTAAGATGAAATATGTTGACTGCCACATGATTGATATATACAGTCTCTTGGATAACATGACAAACCGAGAGTGAATTCAGATATAAAAAATCATACCATAATCTCCCTCAGACATAATCCACAAGCCAACCTCATCAGAACTTCATCAAAATCAAGTTCCTTGCCAGGAACCTTAAGGCTCTGAGGTTCATCTATATAATAATAAAGGAATTGTCGCGTGGGGCGACAAAGCCGGCAGGGGAATTAGTGAGGGAATGAACAGGCTGCATGGGGCGACCAGACAGGCAGGGGTATTAGTGAGGGACAACCAAATGACTGAACCACAGGCTGTGTGGGATGATCAGGCCCGCAAGGGGTTAGTGAGGGACAACCAAATGACTGAACAGCAGGCTGCGTGAGGCAATCATGCCAGCAGGGGGGGCAGTTGGGGGCGACCAGGCCAGAGGAGGGGTGGGGGGGAAGGTAAGGGATGGCATGCATAGGGAAATTATGGGCGACCAGGCCAGAGCGGGGGGAGTGTTAGTTAGGGGCAACCAGGCTGGCAGAGGGGGGCAGTTGGGGATGACCAGGTCTGCAGGGGAGGCAGTTTGGGATGATCAGGATGGTAGGCAGAGATGGTTAGGGTGATCAGGCTGGCGGGGGGGTGGGATGGGGTGGGGTTGCTGTAGTTAGGGACAATCAGGCAGGAGGCAGGCAGACAAGCATTTAGGAGCCAGCAGTCCCAGACTGTGAGAGGGATGTCCAACTGCTGGGGATTGGGCCTAAACTGGCAGTTGGACATCCCCAGAGGGGTCCTGGACTGGAGAGGGTGCAGGCTGGGCTGAGGGGAACATCCCCCACCCCTCATGCACAAATTTAGTGCACTGGCCTCTAGTTTTAATATAAAAACCCAAACAGTACTACTTAAAAAAAAATAAACTGAGTAATATATCTCAGTACTAACTGTATATATTTGGGTAGAAGAGAATCTATATATATGAAAGACTAAGTGACTAGTCAACCAGCTGACTGGCAGATCAGCCAGCAGCTATGATGTGCACTGACTACCAGGGGGCAGAGGCACAGCACAGGAGCAGAAACCACAGGCATGGAAACATGGAACAGACTGATGAATCTCAGAGGAAAGGGGGAAAGGGGAGGGCAGAAAGAGATTAACCAAAGATCTTATATGCATACTAGAGGCCCAGTGCACAGATTTGTGCACCAGTGTGGTCCCCTGGCATGGCCGGCAGGGATTGGGCCAAAATCAGCTCTCTCACATCCCCCCGAGGGGTTCCGGATTGCGAGGCTGCAGGCCAGGCTGAGAGACCCCAATGGGGCATGAATCCATGCACCAGGCCTCTAGTAGAAAATAATGTTTAAAATTGTAGGGGTGGTTAATTAGTACAAAAAATTTACATACTCACATCTACAAGCCAAATGTCATCTTTTCGATTGTCCTTAAATCTACAAACAAAAAACATAAAATAAGTCTTTGTATGTTTCCACTTTACCACTGAATAACAGGTGGGGATAACCAGTTGACAAATATAAGGGCATGAAACAAATTATTTTAATAAATTTTTATGTGCAAGTTTTACTCAATGATCTGTAAACCTTATCCATTAAACATCATAATAAAAGTAGGGAACTGAAGTAATGAAGTGGCAGTTGGTAAAAACACAGACACATGCTCAGCTCCATTCACGCCTGGAGTTAGTTAATGCAGCAGACCTGAGGCTATTCTTGGAAAGCTTGCCTGCTTTGGGTTGCCCTTAGTTGGCATCTGGGAACTTGAATTTCAGCTACTGATAAGTGTTTACACTGAGTAAACAATGTGGTTTTGTGAGAATAGCTGCTCTCCTTCTTGCCTTTTCCAACCTCCAAAGAGAAAAGAGGTCCAGGAATTGATGGGCCCAATCAGCTACTGATGCTATCATATAACCCATGTGGGGATCTTGATGGCACCCATCTACCAAGGCCACTGCCTTTGAGTGGAGCCCCAAATATTATAGCAGGATACCCTGGTAGCCCTCTAGCAGGCCAACAGGGCTCTCTCCTCCTGGTTTCCACGGATCTATATCCTCCCCAAATTGACTGAAAGAAGCACCTCTTTGAGAGGCAGTGATTGGCCAGTTGTGGGTCTTGGCAGCTGAGTGCAGTAGTAGGCTCATGAGCAGAAATTCCAAGCATGCTGCTTACAGGGAGACCCTGGATTCTAAGAGTTAGTGGAAAAGGCATAGGAGCCCAGCGGGAGTCTTACAACTCCATGAAAAGGTCTCCCGAGTGCCCCTCCACCTCTCAGGAATAACATCCAAGGAGCCTCCTTTAGTCCAATGGGGATCCAGATACAGAGACCTCCTGGACCACCCCTGGGCCTGGGTCAATGATGGCTCCTTTGGGTTAACTTACTGGAATGGAATTGGGTGTGGACACCATCTAACCTTCACCAACCATTGTGGAGTACCTTCAAACTCATTGCAGCTTGATACAGTAGGACAGACTGTAAAATGATCTGCCCACTGCTCTCCCACCTTCCGCTTCTCCCTCCAGCCCTAGCAGATAAGCACTGCTGTGTTTTTACAGGCCTCTATGCTGACAAAATAAAATGGAACTCAGGAGCATTCCAGGCTTGTCAGCTAAACATGGAAATAAGTTGTTAACCCAGAGCAAGCAGGGGTGCAACTGATTGCCTCCTGGGTCCACCAGAGGACAGAAATTCAGATACCATCTTGGATTGGGCTTGAGTGAGAAGACACCAAACTAGCATGAAAAACCTGTCCTTCTTGTGAAACCCTGGCATTAGTAGGTCAGGGCATTCACAGCAGGTAGAACACAGTCAGTCAACAGAACATCCATCTAAAGAAAGTGAGGGTTTTGGGTGCCTATGCCTGTCCATCTCCCTTCCTCCTCCTCAGGTAAACTCATGGCTACAGTAATGGCTGTCAGGACATTCTAAAGGAGGAAGTTTATCTAAAGGAGGAGGTTTACAGATCCCCAGAGCAAGGACAATGGGCCAGGTACAGAAAGCTCCAGATGCCTAGGGGCAAACCTGCGAAAACAAGAACCTTGCCCCCAGGGCGACTTATCCTCTCCTGGAATATCACTGGTAAGGCGGTTTGGACCCTCTGGCCTTTTTCTCCCTAAAGTTAACATCTAGGCCTCAACCAATTGGCGGAGAACACCATGCTTAATGTCTAGGCCTCAGCTGTATTTCAGCTCCAGACCCCGAAAAGCAGTAAAATCAGATAAGTGGCACCTTGGCTGCCTCAGGACTAACTATATTGACTAATAACTCTCTGCTCTGGCACCAACCAATTGGTGGAGAACACTATGCCTGACCCCACAGGAAACTGATGACTATTCTATTAAGACTCTCCCCTGAAACCTCTACTTCCACCAGCAAGAGAAAGAAATATGCTCAAGACATAGGACCCAGTGCGCACTCTTTCCAAAGAGCACGCACATGCCATTCCGCCACAGGCATGTATCCCCAACCTCTAAGGGGCCCTATGAGACTTGCAACCAGGGGAGCAATGGGCAGCAGGAGCTTGTCCCAGGCTCTCACCCTGAACCTGTCTCCAAGGCTCCCTTTTCTCTGACTTCCCAGTGAATCAAAGCAGCCCAGCCTAGGCTCTCCTGTTGTTTCTTCTATGCCCTTCTTCATTTTACTGTCCTAAATACATTTTTTTTGCTGCCACCATGACCAACAATATCCTTTGGCTCAGAGCTGTTTAGCCCATCCCTTTGGATAACCTCATAACCCATCCCCTTTTTCTTAAATTATTCTTTATTCCCTGTCTGATGGCTATTTAGCCTGCCTCTGTACCACCGACTTTAACCTTTCAGTTACATTTAAGGAGATTACCTCCCTGTTGACAATGATTCTCCCAGAATCAAACAGTTTCTGTAAACAATTTGCTGATACCCCCCAATACTCACTGGCATGGCTAATAAAGCATCCCATAGGACCCTGAGGCTTTTCAGAACAGCACTATGCTCAACTGACCACCCTGCTGCTACAGCAGTGCTGTCATGTGGAGGTGGTAAGGAGGACAAGTCAAAGTGAAAGTAACAAAGGAGCTCTACTCACTGCTATAATGCAAGCCAAGGGGCACACAAAAAAGGTGCCAGCTCCTCAGTGTTCCATTTCCCCAAATAGAACCACACCAGGCAAGGGTCAGGCAGGTCAGCACACACAGGGGAGCAGTGAACCAAATACTTCTTCTGCCTCTGCCTCTTTATGGGCCCCTGGGCAGAGGGACAGCCAGGGAAAAGGGACAGGAGGTGAAAGGTGCCAAGTCCAGGTGGAGCAAAGTGCCTCTGCCAAGCCCCTCAGTAAGGAGGTCTCTGCAGAGGAAATGCCATGCCAGCCGCACAGGAAATGCCCCCTACCTCCTGCCAAAAGGCAAGTGGCCTAGGAATGCAGATATGTAGCCTGCTAGCTCCGCTGGCCCCAGAGGCCCGAGTCTATGACTACAACTCCCTCTAGAGACTTCGGGGCACAGGTTGTACACAGAGTTGAGTGTTAGGAGAGTCTTTTCCCTTGGAGGCCTGCCAGGTAAATCCTTACAATGGTCTGAAAGATCACACATTGGGTTTTGGTATGGAGCACGACTCCTCACCTACTATAAGCAAGGCCTTGTGATTAATGCTGCGGTAACAGTAAAAAACCAAAAGCAAAAACACAGTATGGTCCCAAATTCCAGCGCCCACTTACTGATTAAAGCAGAAAAACATAACAAATACAGGTGACATGATAAAAGACAACACAGATGAGTTTGGCACTTTTTAAATCTTACACCTTAGTAAAACTCTTTGAACAAAATTAGTGCTATATAAGCATTGGTTATTACTGGCTCTATTATTAAAAGACTAGGTTCATACAAATATGCAGAGTTGGAAGAAGATAATACTTAAAAAAAAAATATATATATATATATATACTCACGATTCATCTAAATCTTCTACATATCCTTTACAGAAAGCCATCTCAAGTAAAAAAACTGAAAGAAAAAAACATATATAATAAATGCTGGGTTATCATTTGGCTCGTACTATAAGCTCAGTCATCTAAAAAATGTCTTTGATTTTTATCACCCTACCAAAAACTTCAATTGAACCTTCCCAGAGCACAAGTGATGAAAAAGCATAAATAGGTCAAATGTTTAATATACACTCTGCATGCAACCATACTGGGAAAGGCTAGTAAATCACAGAGTTTCTTTTTAAATATACTTCCACTTTCATCCCATTTTTCCTTTTTACATGCCATCTTTCTGGGAATGGGGATAGAAATCCTTATTTTTCCTTTTTCTCTAATACCAGTGATCTCCTCGGTATAAACTCCAAATACCATTCCACATACTATTAGCTTTTTTTTTTTTTTTAATTATATTGTTGAAAGTATTACAGATGTCTCATTCTCCCTCCAGTAACCCCTCTTTCTCACTCCTCCTCCCCAGGTCTTCACCGCACGATCGCCTGTGTCCATGACTTTTGCACATATACATTTACGTTCTTTGGTTAATCTCTTCCAAACGATTAGTTTTTATCCTCAATTTTATAGAGACGGAGCCCCACCACCAATACGTATTCCGGAAGAGGATCTGGCACATCCTGGTTACTGAGTGAAAACAGCCCAGAGAGGAACAGGGAGAAGCGGGGGGCTGAGCAAAGGCCGACCCACATTCAGGGCACTTTCCACCCGGCACCTGAGTCTGTTCTGCTCTGGGACACCCTCCTCTTCGCCCCCTTCTTCCCTTGGGACAAGACTCGGAACCTAAAGCCAAAGCTCCGAGTGGCTGCACCTTGGGAAGGCAGCATCCTTCACGCCTCCAAGTGGGGCCAACGCTCCGGACACTTCCTGCCGCCCGAGAATCAGAGCCGATCGGAGGAAAACGCATCCTTCCCGCGCGAGACCCTGGCCCTGGGCACCCCGCGTCGGAGGAAGGAGCCGCGGTGAGGGCTCTCCCGGCGGACACTCCGCGGCCGGTCCTGGCCCGACCCCATCCGGAGAGAGTCCCCGCGGCCCCCCTTCCCCCCGCACCACCCCCGCCAGGCCTGTACCTATGGCGCAGAGCCGCAAGGCTGCCCCGCGTGTCCGAGCTGCCATGGTCGCCGCAGGAGAGCTGCAAGCCAAGGCACAGACTGTAGCGGCGGCCGCCTGAGCTCCCGGAAGGGGAACCGGGGTGCGGAAGAGAAGCGGGGTCCTGAGGGCAGGGGCGGGGCAGCCCTGCCTCCGGTGTCGCCTCTGAGCATGCGCGGAGCCAGGGCGCACGCGCAGAGCTGGGGCGCGTGCGCAGTTTCGTCCACGGAGCTGGGTGTTCTCAGCGGCCTCGGGGAGCGTGGGAACCGCGAGTGAGGTCGCGGACGCGGGCGGGCAAAGCGGCAAGTGCCGCCTGGGTGCGATTCAGGGAAAGTTCATTTCCGGCCGAACTTGAAGAATGAGGTAGATTCTTGCAGCGCAGCTCGAGGTTGGATTCCGCCAGTTTTTTCTTTCCCTCGCTGCTCAAGTGCAGTCAGTGAAGGACCAGATTCCCGCAGAGGTGGGTGTAGCTAGCAATGGTTAGATTATTTTGCTTGCGGGACCCTCCATGTACTATTTCAACAGTCTTTGAATAGGAAGCTCATTTTTGCCAAGTCAAGGAATGCCGTAACCTTTTTTTTTATATCTTGAAACCTGGAAAAAATGAAGTTGATCAATCATTGGAGATATTTTTTGATGATTTGTTCTTCTATGTTTTCTTTTAGAGATAAAGTACATGCTATAAAATATTTATTGCTGTTTTCCTACACAACAAAAATGATTTGTAAAAGCGACAAAGTTTTATGGGATGGTTCCAGCAGCATTCACTACATCTAAATCAAGTGATGTTTTTGCAGGACAAAAAATTTCAGAATTTAGAGTTATTGAATTTGTGTTGTGGGAACGGAAAGTGATTGTGATGTCAGCTGATTCACCTGAAGTTCAAAATTCCAACACGCCGAAATCTCATTAAACATTGCTATTCCCCATGATTAGAAAGCTAAATAATCTGATTGAGGGTAAGCCCTAGGTTTCCTCCCTTTTATGCATATAGCATATTTATCCAATGCAGATGTTCAGATTCAAAAATATTTTTAAGTGAGAGTCTAGTTTTTGTTTTGTTTTGTTTTTAATGTATTTTTATTGATTTCAGAGAGGAAAGAAGAGGAAGAGAGAGACAGAAACATCAATGATGAGAGGGAATCATTGATTGGTCGCCTCCTGCACATTGGACTGAGCCCACAACCCAAGCATATGCTCTTGACCAGAATCAAACCTGAGACCCTTGAGTCCCCAACTGATGCTCTATCCACTGAGCAAAACTGGTTAGGGGGTGAGCGTCTAGTTTATTCTAAGAGCTTAACATGCATAAATATGTAATCCTCTTCAAAGTTCTCAAAGTATATATTATGGATGAGGATCCAGGGACTCAGAGGAGATTATTTTCTTAATATCTAAAAAGGTTGAAATTGTTATTTGAAACAAAGTCTCAAATACACAAAAACAAACAACTATAAATCATATGCTAACACCAAATAAAAACATCAGGGTAACTGTGTATAACAAATAAACAAATTGCCTGAAACTTACCCTTTCAAAAATAACCTAATCCAAGTCTGAACCCACCCTAACTTTTCCTCCTATTTCTGAATCTCTATAACACATTTTCTGTAATTCTGTATTTATCTATATTGCTTTTATACAGATAGGCATTCTTTATATCGCAAGCTAGACAGTAAGTTCCCTTGAGGAGAGAGACTTGACTGATCTACTTCTACTATGTATCAAGCACCCATCAAAGACTAGCTGGCATTTTTTAGCAAGCATTTATGACCTGGTTGGAGTGAGAAGGATGTGTACTGGTGGTAGGATATGGAATCTAGGAGAGTAAAATACAAATTACAAAACAGTCAACATGTAATAGGCTGCTGTCTAGACAAATGGGCTAATATCACTTTGATTTTAATACTAAAAGCCATACTCCAGTATAATTCTCAACAGTACAAGTTTAAATGAAAAGCAAACAAACAAAAAAACAACCCACATATTTCTTTGCAACCAAAGTTATATGTCAATTGTTAACTTCTGCTCTATTGAATGTCCCGAATATTTGTAGATAATGTACAACATGCTGGAGATATGTACATTCAATAGAAAGCAATCCGTTGTTGCTGCTGGTGGAGATGAATCTTGGAAAACCTGTGCTTCCATCTTCCTTTGCAGCAGCCTGAATTCTGGCTGATCCACTGTAGAGAGTCTATATGAACATTCAGAATTTTGCAGATCTGCTAGAGCAGATCAATAGTGTCAGCAGGTCTTTCAAATATACTCAGGTGCTCAATACTGTCCTTCAGATCCTGGGCCATTTATTTCAGCTGAGCACTTATGTTTTCTGCTACTTTGTAAATCCTCTCACACTCACCTACATAATTTGCATGAACAGATCCATTGTCCTTCCCAGACTCTTCTAAAGAGATCAAAAGATTTTCCTTCTACTGCAGCAGGACCAAATCCAATTTTTCCCCCAGCCTTTTCTGATCCAATTTTACTTTTTCCACTTTTCCTTGTAAAATAGTCATCTTCTAACTATTCCCAATCATTAAACAGACCCAAGCATTGGCCTGGGTGACCTGGTCATGACCTCTTGGTCCTCTAACTGAAGGTTCCATTTGTTGATCAGACCGGCCAGCTGACCATATGTCAACTTGGAGCGAGAGAAACAGATACAAGGGAGAGATTCAAAGAAGTTCCAAAGTATGTCTTTTGATCCAACCAATAATATGGATACATTCTGTTACAATGAATTCAGAAATTGACTGAGAGCAGGTGAGAGAAGATGAGGAAGTGAGAAAAACATCACAAACATCCAGACATCAGGACACCTTCCAAGAGGCAGGCTGAATGAGTCATCTTTCACACCCAGAGAAATGGAAGCCAATTTAATGTTGGGACAATTCAAGTAAGACAGCTCTTGCACATACCCCATTCTCCCCCTCTGCATGCCAGTCCTTAAAGAGTAAAGTCCCAATTAGCTGGCCAGGGAAGGCAAAGAGAAAAGATAATCAAGACCCTCATCCCACTGCAAGTTTCCAGCCTAAAACAGACCCTAAGAGGGGAAGGGGAAAACATTTCTATGGTAAATCTAGTTAGAATTATGGTCTAAATGGGAATGCTTATGCCAATTATTAGATATGTTTTCTATTTTCTTTTTAAAATATATTTTTATTGATTTCAGAGAGGAAGGGAGAGGGAGAGATAGAAACATCAATGATGAGAGAGAATCATTGATCAGCTGCCCCCTACATACCCCCTTCTAGGGATTGAGCACGGGCCCTTGACTAGGATCGAACCTGGATCCTTCAGTCTATAGGCCGAGGCTTTATCCACAGAGCCAAATCAGCTAGGGCTAGATTGTGTTTCAACTCCAACTATCTGTTATTCAGGTGGGCTTGTTAGAATTTTCATACAGGGTCAGGGGAAAAAGTCCACTCTAAAAATGTTTAATGAGTGACAGAGGGCAAGCAGTTATATTTTATGTTGACATTATTGCTTATTCAGTATATTAATAGCATTGATAATATTGGGACCAAAAGAAGGACATAAATATAGATAACAGAAGTTAAGATAAATAACACTGTCACAGCATATATGAAAAAGTAACCAAGAATTCTAAAAATATAAGTTGCCAAGATTCATCTAAAACAAGGGTGAGGAACCTTTTTTATGCTAAGGGCCATTTGGATATTTATAACATCATTCGTGGGCCAAACAAAATTATCAGCTTAAAAACCAGCCTCCTATATTTGGTCAAACATTTAATTAACTCACCCCTAATGCCTTGGCAGGGCCAGACCAAATGATTTCATGGTCCGTGGGCTGGACATTCTCCACCCCTGATCTAAGTCCTAAAAAGACTAAAATATTTGGATAGCCATTAAAGAAATTGGATCAGAAGTTTGAAATTGTCTCATAAAGAACATATGCTATCTAACTCTTATGAACTAAAAATCTGTAACAAAACTCTTCTAGTCAATACAAAAATAGGGAACACTCCCCAATTTGTTCAATAAGGTTACTATAATCTTAGTAACAAGACCATAAGAGGCATGTGTGAGAAAGGAATTATACAGGTCCATTCAATCATGAACCAAAGTAGAAAAAATTGCAAATGAAATATGATCAAACCAGATAGAACAATGTGCCAAAAAAGACAAAATTGGTGTTTGTTGTTTCACTCACCCCCCAAAATGCAAGCATGATTTAACATTAGGCAGAAAAATTGTCTTAAATTTTCCATAATAACTGATGAGATGAAAAATAGGTAATCATTTAAATAAATGTGATAAAATAATTTGATACATATTCCCAATCAAAATAGTAAGCTAGGATGAGTAAGACAGTTTGTCATGGTGTGTTGAGAAGGCTCATTTCCAGCAGGCCTGGAATTACCATGAGCGGTTTTGCTCAAGTTCCTGCTTTTCACTAAGCTCTGGTCCCAGTACCTGAACCATGCTGGTTAATAATGTTGCATTTGTAATGGTGGGGTTTGAGGAGTTTTAGGGTGTTTTTATTATCAGCTCATCAGCATTGTTTCTGGGTAAGAGTGAGATTGATGATTTACATCTGGTGAGACCTCCAGAGAGCTCTTCTGAGTTTGTAGCAGGACGATGTCTATGTGACCAGCAAACTGAAAAGACCCAGCGAGATTCCTGGATCCCATAGTCCCAACGTGTTCTATGCACATACAGGTGGTCCCTGCTACACAAGAGATAGTGCCTACAGCCATGACCTATATAGTATGTGAAGATGGGAGCCTGTACCAGGCCTCCGCAGCCCCATGCTGCAAGACAGCTTTGACAGAGATCCAAATTCTAATTCAGTGCTGCTGCTAGATGGTCTGAATAAATCCCTGTGGGAGAACCAAGGCCTCTTACAAATGTGCGGATGAAATGCCTGCTGATTTTAGGTTCACCCAACACAGGAGCACTGCCGAGGCCTGCTCAGGAACCCCTTAGGGGTCACAGAACTAATTTAGGGGAATCAAGAGGTGCTGCTGTAAAAGGAATAAAAATTGAAGTCTCACCCTA